ACCTCCTGAAGTCAGTCTAACTTCGTTCAAAGTCACCAAATTTTGGGAGCCCAGATGTTGACTAAAAGGAAGGAGCATCGGTGAGCGGGCATTCGAAGCCTGAGGTGACCCACAGCTAAAGACGTTGTTGACTGCCTATTGAACAGTATCGCAACCATCTTCATCACCACATGACAGTCTCCACAGCAACACGATGGAAGGAGGCAGTTCGGAGATTTAGAGGGACGTTTGCGTCATCTCTTAAACTACTTAGAAGGCCTGCTATTCGAGCAAAGTCTTCGGGCTCTATAATCATGTTCTCATGGGCTTTCCAAAGATTCCACAACACCAGTTTGGAAGCGAGCCTTTAGACATGAAGTCTAGAGGCTGAATGCTACCGGACACTGAGCCAGTGTTTAGGCCGTATTGGCCATTTGGAAGAACTTTTCATAAAAGTTTTCTTGTTTGCTTACAAGAACGCAATATACTAACGAGGTTGCTCAGGAAACTGACAACAAATTGACAAGATTTTTTGGAGGCGAATACAAAACAAAACCCAAAATACAAAAAGCCTACAGGTCGGCCGACGGGCACGGACTTTTTTGGAGTTCAAGTTAGAGCCTACCTGGTAGATCTAAATTTTGTTATATTCCACTTCCGTGCCTCCACACCAGACAGACAGATTGTGTGGTAAGCCGGAAAATAAATAATCACAAGGTAGGTGTTTATTTAAAGAATAAATACTAGTCACACATGAGGCTCGGCTGTCCACTGCGAAGATGTCATCCAGGGGTTATCATCAGCTCTCTGTGCGTTCGGATGTTCCCGGTTATGCTGTTGAATTGGGGCTTGTTTGTGTAACAGGCACAGCTGAAGACGCACCACTGTAAGCAAAAAGGCTTTGAATTCTGGACCATTAAAATTCTGGTTTTGAATAGATAAACTTTGAGGTTTGCTTAGTTAATAGACCCCACTTACTTTGCGGCAGTCAGAACAACGGACACCAAGGGTCACGGGTTCTACATGGCTACTCGTGTTTGTTGTACAGAACAAATGAAACAAGGCGCGGCAAAACGAGCACTCAAAAAACCTCGCAACCGTGACTGCCTCTGCACAGGCCCAGCAACCTAGTAGCAGCTCAGCTCCTTTCTTCTTTCGGATGGAATAGAAACTGTGCCAAGAGGGTTGGTCGAAGTTTGCAGGTGTCATCTACAGTCTGACTTACTGCCGGTCATGACTGTCTGCTCATCCACCTTTGCTTGTGCTTATGTGCCAGTCAAAGAACGGCCACAAATGGCCAATATCGCGGGGGCTTGCCCTGGATGCACGGGTGGAATTTGAAGTTAAGTTGCACGTTGCATCTTATCTACTCACATGTTATCCACGGAGGTCGAGACCACCTTGCGCTAAGTCCCCAACCTCTAGGACAATACACTATGACGCATACACCCAGATCCGGATACAGAGTGTCTGAGGTGGAATGCCACGGTTCGGTGACAGTTTGGGCTGATATGCGATCCGAATCCCAAGGGAGGGCAACGGCTGGCCATCGAATGTGCACAGAATTCCACAGCTAACCAAACCCCTCCAGGATTAGGAGAAAATAATCCCTGGTTTAATTTTACTGGATGCCAACCAGGTTGAAAGCTGACCAGAAGGACCTTTTATGACGTTGCGCTTTTCGGCAAGCTTTGCGCCACAGCGGAATTACACCTAGACGTGCAATGTCTGAATCACTCCCATGGAATTGTGCAAATCTTTGGTAACGTTTAATAACCCAGACAAAGTGATCATTGACAAAGTTTTGGATGGTCTCCAGTTGTCCTAGAAAAAGATGGTTCAACCAGCCTCCTCCAAAACGCAGTTAACCTCATTCTGCCCAAGAATAGCGTGATTTTCTGTGTGTATGGAGGGGAGCTGTTCTAAATAACCGAACATCTCACCGAACGGATAAATATTTCGAGGCGAGTTCGAAGTGGATGAAGGCGTGTCCTGATTGGCCAAATTTTGAGCCAATCAAGACATGCAGCCTGATGTTTCTTGCGTGGGTTGTCCCATTGCCGTGTGCAAACTTCTGAGATCACCCTGTGAATATGGCTGTGACAATAGTGCTTTGGCCTTTTAAATTACCATCCGAAGTCCCTATCCTAATATGCCATAGTTGAAGGAACAACAAGCTAGGGACCGACGTGTTAGATGCAATGCTGCCTGCGGAGCATAATAGAATGTGACTATTAGGCTCGGCTCAGCTATGGAAGGAACCAATCAGAGTAGAGTATACAGGCTCCTGTTTCCGACACGGCATGCGGCTATAGGAATGTACAGGGATAAACGACAGCTTGAACATGAGGACGGATGGAATTTAATCAAATTAAAAGTGGGCTTGTAGACCAGCGTGGTTTCTCACGTCATTGGTCAGTACGTCTACAAATATCCAGCCTTAAGAGAAATTGCATTGTGACTCACCTCCGTCAAGTCTGAGCTTTTAGACCGCCTACTATTATGGACGCGTGCGTCCCTCACCTAATATTTATGAGCGCCATCGAGAATAACAGTACTGTACGCAGGATGGTCTCACTAGTGAGACCCTCCTGCGTCTTCACTTCACATGTCATGCAGTCTCGTATGAAGTACTCCGTCCACTTTTAAAGTCGCTGCAACTACGTTTAGAAACATTCGATCGATTGATGCAAGTGTCTACTTGGAAAACTTTACCCCGAAGGCCGAACTCAAATCAAACTCATCAGCCGAAGCTACTATTTTTGCCTGAAGTGCGCACGTCTCCCATTGAGCACCCGGGCATCCTGACACACCTACAGGTTTGCATGCATGTGCGTGTGCACATTGCGCTAGTGGTCAGCTAGACGAATCAAACTAGCAGAATAAGACCGTTGATGAACTTCAACCCAGTCCCAGTGAAAGGTTATTTCTTGGTGCAATAAATTCGGCGAGCCATAGAATTGCAAAAACAGGATGCGTCAGTGTAAATTTGTGCCGTTCTCCACGACAGCGCCTCACAGAATTCAATCCACCACTACTGCAGCGCCTAGCAGCTGCCGACCGCAAACGAACTGCAGGTTGACCCCGTTCAGCAAGTCGATCCAGTCAGTTATCGAATGTTTCTGCTGTGAGTGTTGGTTGTATCCCACGCGTTACAACACTAACTGCCCTTAACAGTGCGGCGATTCAGGCCTTCTGCACGCTTTTTCGCCATTCTCTGAGAGACGAGTGGGGAGCCTACGGGTGACCCAATAATTGTACCTAAAGCCTGCAGAGAACACTCTGTGGGCCTGTATTCTGCCCCAACGGTCTCATCACACCCAATCTTGGCTAGGCGTCACTGCGGCCAGCCTCTAACCAACTAGATCGTCACTGGGGAGGATCTTAGTCAATTCTTGCGCACGACAAACCCCTTCAGAGCGTTGCGGCCAGATTAGGTCCATCCAAGCATCCTAAAGAGAATATTGTTCACATTGGCAATGCTTTTCTACTTGATGTTCCGTCATTCTCACGGCAAATAAAACCCTACCTCTGCTTTGAAGGAAGCACCTGTCATGCCAATCTACAAATCTGCTGACCCGGTAGCCACAGGCTTTTTATCCTCACTAGCATACCGCACAAGGTGATGGAGCGCGTTTTAAAGCGGGTCGTCTCAAATGACCTCTATCCCAACAACTTGATATCCCCAGCGCACCCGACCTAAAGCTGCCACATTGCCGGGCCAGGCCGGCCTTCGGTAGCTAAGTGGATCAGACTATTGAGTTATTGGCTCTTGGAAGGGTCCCCCAAGAAAACCCCAGCAAGCAGTGTCTCGTGGTCAAAACTCTAGAGTCAAAGGCTAGGGGCAGGTCCCCGAACAAAACCTTATATTCTCCCACTGCCTTGTGGGACAGACGTTTGAATCAACAATTAAAGGTGAGGTACCTCAACCAAACCCTCTTCCTTGGTCTGGGCAACAGGGGAGGATCATTTGCCCCTTTAGCTTTTCGCTCACCCCAGCGCACCATGGATTACCCCCAAAAACGTTTTTGAATGAATGTTCCTAGTTATGGATAGCTGAACCCAAGGCACAGGTGAAGGAAGCCATATTTTTCAACTTCCCAAAGACATTCGGTCGTTAAAAGACTCAGCTTTTGTCCATCGATGTCTTCGGAGCATTGCCTGAATCTAGTGGGAACACCGGGTCAGCAATGCTGAAGTTCGTCGAATGGTATTAGGGGGAAATAACTCACACCTGATAGATACACTGATCACGCTGCATAGGTTGCGCTGGCTTGCCCACGTGCTGCCAATGCCAGTTGACCGACTTCCTCGAAGGGCTCTTTTCGCACAACCATGTGAAAAGTGGAAAAGAGCCACAGGTGGTCAAACAGTGACTTGGCATCGATGTATAGAAGCCATTACCAGCAAACTTAGCTGCGCTGCTCACTGTCGTCTTCCTGGATGGGGACCCCGAGACGGGCCATATCAATGGTTAGAGACATTATCACACATGGTCCAGCAGCTACGTACCCCACCTCCCCGAATCATCAGTGAACGAAACTGTGGTAGTTACAACTACTGTACGACAAGTACGCAGTTAGTACAGCTGACAATGATGATTCGGTCATTTCGTACACGTTCCGGTGCTCCTCAGACTCGAGTTTTATCGGACTCCACGATAAATTCTAAACTGGATTAGGGTGATTCTATCAGTTAGAAGGTTAATTCAACCCATTTTTGTGCACCGGTTTCTATTATAGGTCCGCAACGTTCCGTTTTGGGACCAATTTTGTTTTTAATCTATGTCGACAACTTTCCAGGTGCACCTTCAAGTCCATGTCTGCTTTTTGCGGACAACCTGAAGTCTTGAATTACCGACACCAGTGTCATCTAGATAAATGTTGATGCTGAAAAGCAGTGATCATTGGACTGGGATCTTCCTCTGAATGACGAAAAATATATTCCTGTCGTTTGAAGGAGGCTCAGAAGACGTATTTTTGCCATCATCACTATCGGAAACAGCAACCTCAGTGTGGATACTAATGCTTCAATGCTGTACAGCCAGCAGCTGTAACACCATTTCGGTGCCTAACTGCCATGCCAAGGACGGGGGCTGGGATACTGCTAGGTTGCCCAAGCCTAGACAGGGAAGTCGAGAGGCAGAGGTCGGACTCAAACCAACAGACCTCCCGGTCAGTAACTTCGCGCTCTAACCACTTGAGCCATCTCGCCCCTACCTCAAGCTTTAGAATGAGAGTGGAGGGGGGCGAGATAGCTTAGTGGGTGGGGCGCGAATTTACTGACCGGAAAGACCGTGGTTCGAACCTGACCTTGACCTTGTTGGTGTGGTGAGAAGTCACAGTGTGTCGACTAGTCATGACGTCAGTCAAATGTTTGGATCTCGATTTATTAGGGAGCCGAGCGTGAAGGTAAGGAGAGTCACACCACCTGAAAAACGAGAAAACGTTGATGACAGATAGATTTCGTAAGGCAAGGCAAAATGGTTTAGCTGTAACAGCCCTCCGGTGCCTAGCTGCCATGCCACCCGAAGATGGTACGAGGGCTGGGGTACTGCCAGGTTGCCAAAGCCTAGACAGGAGAAGTCGAGATGCAGACGGGTTCGAACCACGGTCCTTCCGGTCATTAAATTCGCACTCTAATCACTGAGCCATCTCAATTCAGGCAAACTAAAGTAGAGAAAATACATGCTGCTTGTTCGCCATCTCTGCTGTCTGTCGTCTCTGATTGTAAATTCCATGGAAAGATGAGTTTCATACTAATCAGCACGATCCATAGATGAAAGCACAAAAAAATGACCTGGCAGTCCAAAATGAAGATATTCGCTATGGTAGCGCTGACATTGCGAAAAGCAGACTTGGGTCATGTGGCCTTTGATCGTTGGGAATGAGAATGGTAACAGTTGCTATACTCATACCCTGTTCATCGGTTATTTCTAAAAAGCCTAAAATTTAGGCAACCAAAGTATAATCTTGTATCCTAAAGCTAACCATTGGCAACTCAGATGAAAAGCGGTCGCCCCACCTGAAGCCAGTTCTGATTGACGGTAACACACCAGATGACGGAATCTACCTACGTCTTTAAGCGTCGACAAAAGATACTGACTGATCACGTTCACAACCAAGATCTTCGAGATTTCAGACGCCAGATGCCCACAGGATTGTGAAGCGACAGGCAGTCGGTGGATAGCATAGGTAAGGAAAATGGGACTTGCAAACAAAATCATATCGGTCAGCTTCAGCCCGACGGAACACCAACAGAGGACAGGCACCGACGTTGGATTGAGGAATTTAGAATTCAGTTTAACTACCCCCCTGATACGCTGTTATATATACCAGCGAAGGTGTCCGAAGGACCGTGTTCACGAATTCGCCTAGCGTGCGAGAGATATGTTGGGCAGTTCGGTTGCTGAATGAATTGTCAAAAATTGCAAGAGACGCCTTATTTCACCCACCCAAGTCTCAGGTAAAGTCTTCGTTCAAGAGAAAATACCATGTTGGTAATCCACGCCCACAATGTCACCGATGGGCAAAATCAAGTCTCAGGCGGATTGTTCAATCATAGAGTAAGTCTAAACCCTAAGCGTCTCTGTGGTGTGGCGGTCTGTGTCTCCGTGACCCGTTGAGCTACATTGGTTGGTGGCCATGCGACACTCAGAGTTGATCATATCAGGTTGGCCAATGGTTAGAGGACTGAATAAAATAGTCCCTGGCAGCCCAGGTTGAGGGTTGGAACATTGTGGCGACTTGTTCTATAAAAATGGTAATACATCTGCATTTCGCACCACACCCCGCTGTACTGCAGCCGACTTTTGAGCCATGCTTTTGAAGCAGGACCCTAATTGTCCTCCTGTCTGGGAAGCGTATTTACTGGATTGGGTACCCGTTAATAATCGCCTCTGCACGTTTCGTCCGACAAAGTATGAGAAACCCTGGAAAGTGAGGTCCATCACATGTTTATTGTGTCTGATTACGTCCCAATGCTATGGACTTGCCAAAGAGTTTCCATAACACTCTAGGTGTTCTTTGACAACGGGGTAAAAGATCAGATATCTTTGTGGTTGGTGCTGAGCTGAACGCCCAGTTAGGTGGACTAAGCACTGCTTAAGTCCGTTTGGGTGCTCATCTTGGATTGGATACGAGGCGCACGGTAACATAAATAGTCTAACTCATATGTGTGCCGATAACAGATTGTTTCCTTGCAGACTGTTCCGGAACAGCAGAAATCTATTGACGAAGTGGTACCCACTAACGCAGCAGTCCCGAATCCAAATTGATGAGGATCAATGACGGCCTGTCACTCCTTCTGAAACACCATCGTGAACTCCGACCATGCATTTGTGTACTGCTATTTTTCACTGCGCTCCCTAGGCTTATGTAAGACACGCACATCTCGCTTAACCATTGAGAAACTAATGGACCAAGAAATCAAACAGTTTTCAGTAGCGGCTCCTCGAATGCCTGCCAGATGGTCGGATTTCGGATATAACAAGCCAATGAAAACAGGTATCCACAGTGCTACACAAAGCTGGGACTTTCGTTTGCGGTTCAACCCAGCAAACTCCATCCAAAGAGTGGACCTCTGATAAGACCGTGGCTTTTCTGGAGGCACGGCGACAGATTACTCCCGACCGCAACTACAACTCAACCCGATGAATCATCCGATGCTAGGTAAAACTGAGTGTCCGTGCGGACTGAGAAGCTGTGGATTCAAAGGGCCGAAGAAATGGAAAAGGGAGAAGTAATGGAATCGTCTGCAGGATTTTCCACTTGACTCGTTCGGCTGGTTCTCGGCAACTTCTTATCCTAACAGGGACCAGAATGGCTCTCTGGTATCTAACAAAGAACGTATGGACCGCTGAGCATAGTATTTCGAGCAACAATTCAGTTTGCTACCTGGTGCCTCCAATACTTTCAAAAAAGTTACTCGTACTTGTCAAGCTTCTGGCGTCACTGATTCTTTGGCGTCGTACGGCGGCACACGGATCCGATCACATCTTCAAACTGCGTCGGGTGTTAGAGCAACGCCACATGTACAGATGACCAACAATCTCGGTATTCTCCGACTTCAAGGGTGCGTTCGATTCTATCAATCGGTCAATGTTACCCACACTTATTCAGTAGGGTATGCCCCAAAAGGTTGTGACAATAATCCGGTCCCTATATTCACGTACCTCTGGGCAGGTGAGCGTGTGATGAGCTCTCTAAAAGCTTCCCTACAGAGTGATGTCCGAAGAGGATGTCCACTTTCTCCACTCTTGTTCAACTTCGTCACTGACGAAATAATGAAGCAAGCGCCAAAATGTTTTCAAAAACCCAGTGTTAAACTGTGGTTGGTGAGACCCTTGTAGACCTGGATTACGCAGACAACATGCCCACATCTTTCAAAACGAAAACGCTACACAAGCTCTGTTGAACAAAATGGCCACTATCATACCACTTTTTGGCATGCGCGTAGAAACTTCAGAGTGCAAAGTCACACTTCAAAACGTGCAGTCCCTGGACACACTCCTTATAATTCAAGAATCACTGGGAGTTGTGGAGGATTTTACATACCTCAGTAGTTGTATCATTTCCGACGAAAAGGTGTCTGGTGAAATCAATGCACGAATCTCAGAGGCCCGACAATTTGCACCACTTGTGGCACCAAAACAGCCCACCACTGGGTCACAAGGGTCGCGTGTATCGGGCTACAGTAATAACTGTATTATTGTATGGCTTTTGTTGACAGATAATGTGAGGTGACTTCAGGTTTTTGACCACCGATGCCTTAGAATCGCTGGCGATGTCAGATGACGTCAACCAATTCGTAAGGAGGTAATTAGAAAATGGGTGTTTGCCTGTGCAGCAGGCAGTTCAAGCGCGGAAAACATTCAGCACCATCAACTACGGTGGCTCGGCCATGTTCTTACGCATGCAAAACACCGTGTGCCGAGACGAGTTTTGTTCTTTGTGCACCTTTTAGAATGGAGGAAACAACGGGGTGGACAACGTATAACTTGGAAGGGCGTCAGAGATTACGAAGATTAAGGGTGGTCTTGATGCAGCATACGTTCAGAATAAGGTCTATGTGACTCTTCCTGTGCTTCGCTGGAAACATTCCAAGAAATAGTGGTGTGTCGATGGTGTTCGTGCTGTCAGTTTCTTTCCAGATTGTCTGATTGAGCGGTTGGAGGTGTAGGCACCTCAGTATTCTTGACATAGGCCAGCACTAGGTCCCCTCCATCACCCACTCTTTCTCTTCTCTTCACTGTAGGGCTTTTAATACAATTATATATATATATAAACGAACTTTATGGTTGTATGACAGTGAAGCATCAGTGTCAACACTGTTGTTGCTGTCATTGATGATGATGTTGATGAATTCCCCTATCTAGGCGTGGGTAACCTATCAGTATCCGGGCCCTCGTGCTTCCTTTGTGGATTACGGCAGCCAGACAGCGATAAGGTGCTACAACTGAACGGTTTAGAATGAAAAGAAAAAAAGAGTGGATGAGGGAGGGGACGTTGTAGTGACCTTTCACAAGCACTGTAAAGTGCCTACATGTCTAAGATTTCAGTCAGACAATCTGGAAAGAAACTGACAGCACGAACACCATCGACACACCACTATTTCTTGGAATGTTTCCAGCGAAGCACAGGAAGAGTCACATAGACCTTATTCTGAACGTATGCTGCATCAAGACCACCCTTAATCTTCGTAATCTCTGACGCCCTTCCAAGTTATACGTTGTCCACCCCGTTGTTTCCTCCATTCTAAAAGGTGCACAAAGAACAAAACTCGTCTCGGCACACGGTGTTTTGCATGCGTAAGAACATGGCCGAGCCACCGTAGTTGATGGTGCTGAATGTTTTCCGCGCTTGAACTGCCTGCTGCACAGGCAAACACCCATTTTCTAATTACCTCCTTACGAATTGGTTGACGTCATCTGACATCGCCAGCGATTCTAAGGCATCGGTGGTCAAAAACCTGAAGTCACCTCACATTATCTGTCAACAAAAGCCATACAATAATACAGTTATTACTGTAGCCCGATACACGCGACCCTTGTGACCCAGTGGTGGGCTGTTTTGGTGCCACAAGTGGTGCAAATTGTCGGGCCTCTGAGATTCGTGCATTGATTTCACCAGACACCTTTTCGTCGGAAATGATACAACTACTGAGGTATGTAAAATCCTCCACAACTCCCAGTGATTCTTGAATTATAAGGAGTGTGTCCAGGGACTGCACGTTTTGAAGTGTGACTTTGCACTCTGAAGTTTCTACGCGCATGCCAAAAAGTGGTATGATAGTGGCCATTTTGTTCAACAGAGCTTGTGTTGCGTTTTCGTCTTCAAAGATGAGGGCATGTTGTCTGCGTAATCCAGGTCTACAAGGGTCTCACCAACCACAGTTTAACACTGGGTTTTTGAAAACATTTTGGCGCTTGCTTCATTATTTCGTCAGTGACGAAGTTGAACAAGAGTGGAGAAAGTGGACATCCTCTTCGGACATCACTCTGTAGGGAAGCTTTTAGAGAGCTCATCACACGCTCACCTGCCCAGAGGTACGTGAATATAGGGACCGGATTATTGTCACAACCTTTTGGGGCATACCCTACTGAATAAGTGTGGGTAACATTGACCGATTGATAGAATCGAACGCACCCTTGAAGTCGGAGAATACCGAGATTGTTGGTCATCTGTACATGTGGCGTTGCTCTAACACCCGACGCAGTTTGAAGATGTGATCGGATCCGTGTGCCGCCGTACGACGCCAAAGAATCAGTGACGCCAGAAGCTTGACAAGTACGAGTAACTTTTTTGAAAGTATTGGAGGCACCAGGTAGCAAACTGAATTGTTGCTCGAAATACTATGCTCAGCGGTCCATACGTTCTTTGTTAGATACCAGAGAGCCATTCTGGTCCCTGTTAGGATAAGAAGTTGCCGAGAACCAGCCGAACGAGTCAAGTGGAAAATCCTGCAGACGATTCCATTACTTCTCCCTTTTCCATTTCTTCGGCCCTTTGAATCCACAGCTTCTCAGTCCGCACGGACACTCAGTTTTACCTAGCATCGGATGATTCATCGGGTTGAGTTGTAGTTGCGGTCGGGAGTAATCTGTCGCCGTGCCTCCAGAAAAGCCACGGTCTTATCAGAGGTCCACTCTTTGGATGGAGTTTGCTGGGTTGAACCGCAAACGAAAGTCCCAGCTTTGTGTAGCACTGTGGATACCTGTTTTCATTGGCTTGTTATATCCGAAATCCGACCATCTGGCAGGCATTCGAGGAGCCGCTACTGAAAACTGTTTGATTTCTTGGTCCATTAGTTTCTCAATGGTTAAGCGAGATGTGCGTGTCTTACATAAGCCTAGGGAGCGCAGTGAAAAATAGCAGTACACAAATGCATGGTCGGAGTTCACGATGGTGTTTCAGAAGGAGTGACAGGCCGTCATTGATCCTCATCAATTTGGATTCGGGACTGCTGCGTTAGTGGGTACCACTTCGTCAATAGATTTCTGCTGTTCCGGAACAGTCTGCAAGGAAACAATCTGTTATCGGCACACATATGAGTTAGACTATTTATGTTACCGTGCGCCTCGTATCCAATCCAAGATGAGCACCCAAACGGACTTAAGCAGTGCTTAGTCCACCTAACTGGGCGTTCAGCTCAGCACCAACCACAAAGATATCTGATCTTTTACCCCGTTGTCAAAGAACACCTAGAGTGTTATGGAAACTCTTTGGCAAGTCCATAGCATTGGGACGTAATCAGACACAATAAACATGTGATGGACCTCACTTTCCAGGGTTTCTCATACTTTGTCGGACGAAACGTGCAGAGGCGATTATTAACGGGTACCCAATCCAGTAAATACGCTTCCCAGACAGGAGGACAATTAGGGTCCTGCTTCAAAAGCATGGCTCAAAAGTCGGCTGCAGTACAGCGGGGTGTGGTGCGAAATGCAGATGTATTACCATTTTTATAGAACAAGTCGCCACAATGTTCCAACCCTCAACCTGGGCTGCCAGGGACTATTTTATTCAGTCCTCTAACCATTGGCCAACCTGATATGATCAACTCTGAGTGTCGCATGGCCACCAACCAATGTAGCTCAACGGGTCACGGAGACACAGACCGCCACACCACAGAGACGCTTAGGGTTTAGACTTACTCTATGATTGAACAATCCGCCTGAGACTTGATTTTGCCCATCGGTGACATTGTGGGCGTGGATTACCAACATGGTATTTTCTCTTGAACGAAGACTTTACCTGAGACTTGGGTGGGTGAAATAAGGCGTCTCTTGCAATTTTTGACAATTCATTCAGCAACCGAACTGCCCAACATATCTCTCGCACGCTAGGCGAATTCGTGAACACGGTCCTTCGGACACCTTCGCTGGTATATATAACAGCGTATCAGGGGGGTAGTTAAACTGAATTCTAAATTCCTCAATCCAACGTCGGTGCCTGTCCTCTGTTGGTGTTCCGTCGGGCTGAAGCTGACCGATATGATTTTGTTTGCAAGTCCCATTTTCCTTACCTATGCTATCCACCGACTGCCTGTCGCTTCACAATCCTGTGGGCATCTGGCGTCTGAAATCTCGAAGATCTTGGTTGTGAACGTGATCAGTCAGTATCTTTTGTCGACGCTTAAAGACGTAGGTAGATTCCGTCATCTGGTGTGTTACCGTCAATCAGAACTGGCTTCAGGTGGGGCGACCGCTTTTCATCTGAGTTGCCAATGGTTAGCTTTAGGATACAAGATTATACTTTGGTTGCCTAAATTTTAGGCTTTTTAGAAATAACCGATGAACAGGGTATGAGTATAGCAACTGTTACCATTCTCATTCCCAACGATCAAAGGCCACATGACCCAAGTCTGCTTTTCGCAATGTCAGCGCTACCATAGCGAATATCTTCATTTTGGACTGCCAGGTCATTTTTTTGTGCTTTCATCTATGGATCGTGCTGATTAGTATGAAACTCATCTTTCCATGGAATTTACAATCAGAGACGACAGACAGCAGAGATGGCGAACAAGCAGCATGTATTTTCTCTACTTTAGTTTGCCTGAATTGAGATGGCTCAGTGATTAGAGTGCGAATTTAATGACCGGAAGGACCGTGGTTCGAACCCGTCTTCATCTCGACTTCTCCTGTCTAGGCTTTGGCAACCTGGCAGTACCCCAGCCCTCGTACCATCTTCGGGTGGCATGGCAGCTAGGCACCGGAGGGCTGTTACAGCTAAACCATTTTGCCTTGCCTTACGAAATCTATCTGTCATCAACGTTTTCTCGTTTTTCAGGTGGTGTGACTCTCCTTACCTTCACGCTCGGCTCCCTAATAAATCGAGATCCAAACATTTGACTGACGTCATGACTAGTCGACACACTGTGACCTTTCTTTCACGTGAAGAAGCGCAACCCAGACTCAATCTGGAGGATTACTATGACATTGACAGGCAATACGCAAAACCCGGATTTAAGACTCCGTCAGGCGCCCTTAATTGGCATTGTTCATGTGTCAGCGCGTATGTGACCGGTCCTTGTGGATACTTCTTCCGAAACTTCATGAAAAATATCGACCGGTTCCTAAAGAACGACGACGCTTTTGAAAGCGAGGAGAACCGCTCTTTATTCAGACGTATCCACTACGAGTTGATGGGTTGCCTTAAGGCTCATCCGGTTTACTATAAATCATTCATAGACGAGTATAGTTCCCCTCTTGAAAACATTATGAATGATACTGTGTAATTTTTCTCATTAAACTTGTAGCTAACCACAACTGTTCTCACTGCTTCACGTTCGCCTCAAACAACGGTTACGTGCAACAAGTTGTCATGGAGGATTTAATGAAATGCCACTTTTTCCTACCCCGAAAGAAGCGCTTTTGCCGCTTTCCCGCGTTCAGGCATACCAAGTTTTGCGTTCACCATATCCCAACAACGGTAGGTCAAGGTTGACCGACGAAAATAATTCCTTCACTAGGAATGTACGGAAAACGGCAGAATAAGGTGCCCCTATGGCTCGAATCAGTGAGGCTCAAAAACTATCTTAACCTTTTTTTTAGTACGGTAGACGTATCGAAGCTGGATAAACATCTTTCCGTCTGCCCAAATAATCCACTGTTTCATGAAGTAAAGTTTTCCCTCAGAGTCCCACCTTATTATAGACTCCTACTCGTATCAACTCAGCAAATCATCAGGGTTCGGCCAGCAGTTCGTCACAGCTACCTCCTATCAACACGATTACACAGGAGGTGATCCTATTTCTTGAGAAACTGAGATTTTTGAAGGAAAGTGAGTGTCCTAGCCGTGTATCTTTTTGTCTTGCTTTTGATCCCATGATACTCTTCGGCCGTTTGCGTCGCTTGCACTATGGGGATTGTAAAGTGGAAGCCTTTCATGTTGTAGGACTTATTCCGCACACTGCGGTGTCTTCCTCCCCCTCTTCTTCGGAGCGAGCCTCTTTGTTGTGATGTCCCATTGTGCTGGAGGCATGGTGCTTAGGCATTTGAACGAAGTATTCCATGGTCTCCGCAGGACTAACTCACTGGTTGATCGTTTAGAGCTACTACCGAATGAGAAGCATCCTCGTCTAAGTCATCACTATTCCTGGACACGCCAAGGAAATTCAAGTCATAGAACACTGTTTCGTGATCGTACCCTTACTTATTATGATAGCTCAATGTACAGACTTAAATTTTCTCTTGGTCACTCGATGTGTTCAGCTTAAGACAGATTCCTTGGCTGCCGATATTCCATACCTGAACTTTTTTCACATTACTCTCCAGGATGTCTGGATGATGATAGCTAACCAAAATTAGTAGCTCGATGAACACGGTCACGTCTCCTGGCAGACTGATGTTAGTATGTCACCTTTCGGGTTGCGTGGCAGCTGGACATCAAAAGGGTGTTACAGCTGAATGATCATTTTTATTAGTCATTTTTTCGATCATCCACTAAGGATAATCATATGTTAGTAAGAGGTACTTGCTAATATTGATCGATATATCAGTTCGGAAGAGAATATGTCCATGAATATGAACATAATGGTCGCCTTGGGGAACACCTCCCTGCCTCAACACTCCTGTCACAGAGGTCTTTACCCCCAAACTGCCTCGTAGCACGATTACGCGTAGTACGGGTTCTGGATGCTCTCGATTCCGCCTTATCACGTCAAGGCGGAAGCTATTGGTCGGAGTATTACGTCAAGTGTGTGCCCGTTTTATTCACCAAAATGTACGTGGATAGTTGTGTAAAAATGCCAAAAAATGCTAACTACGTTAGAGAGCTTTACAAGACATGCACCCACCAGGACGAAGTAAAATGAATCATTGATTTTTGGGCACGCTGCTAGTTGAGTACTCCCTGTAGAAACAGCCCTAGCAAAGGCTGAATCTACTAATGAATAATCCCGAAAGGTTTATTGTTGCCCATAAGGCAATCAGCACCAGTCAAATGGTTTGTAACTGAGAACCTCTGTACTCCATTTGCAAGCGCTGTAAGTCATCGTAGCAGGTGCTTAGAAGTGCGTTTTCCCAGTGTCCTCATTATTCAGCCAGCGCTGTTAACTTCAAATTCTATGTGGCGAACGGAGTCCTTTTTGGTTATCCTCTAATCAATATCCATCTACCTTCGCCCGTTTTTCAGAATTGTCGCGCCCTCCTGCTCATCAACCACACAGCTGCAAGCTCTTTACCGTACACCGTTATTAAGATTCTCTTAGTATCGAGTTTTTTCTGATACACACGTGTGTAAGCTAGTCTGGCTTCGACTGCATCGAATCCAATGTCATGCGTAAGTCACCTCGTTTCTTTTTGGGAGGGGAACGTCTAGAACTAGCTGTTCTTGCTCATGCGGGAGTGATTCTTTTTCGGCGAACTTGGTGTAGCAGGTAGCTTCAGTTCGTTCGATTTTCGCAAGTTGTGCTGTGTCGTTGTTTCAGATCAATGGAATTTATTGCTCGAAATGCCTGTTCCACGTTCTCCCTTTTCACTCTAGTGTGAATGGTGGTTATAGACACCCTTTATCCTCAAAATACCAAACACGCCATAATTTTCCAAAGTATTTGCCCGCAGAGTTAGAGTTCGAATTGCTTGCAGCCCAACCTCGAAGATCCTTTGCACAGTTAGTAAACATACAGCTTAGGTTCATATGTATACTTCATGAATGCAGCAGCCATCATATTTCTATCGTCAGTCAAGGTTACGGTCTTGGTTCGATCAATATATCTATCAAAGCTACCCAAGATGGGTTCTTTAACGAACTATTTCTGAGTGAATGACGAGCGCGGCATTTTCCGAGGTAAATATGTTTAACCACTTAAACTCCATCCATGTACACCGTTTGTCACTAGGGGAAAACGGGTTGAAGTTAAATTTCTAATGATGACTATTTGCCTATTCTTCCATTCTGGAAGAGACACCCTGGAAGGTTAACGAAACATCTCATCGGTGGTTCGCCAACAAGAACCGGTTTAAGAAATCTTATTTGAAGCCGGATGTGGTGCCACATAGTGTGACGGACTGGAAGCAGCGCGGTGCTTACGTCCATAGGGTTTTCGTTAATTTTGTTTGTAACCACTTCTCTAACGAAAAGAATACTTGGAGTGTACTGCGATTGACGAGGAGCAACATCAGAAGCATTATATAGAGCATGATTGTGTGATTCTGTGTAGTCCCCAAGAGATTCCCGATAGTGTGATAATTTCGGCCCTAAAATCCGTTAGAGCGTGTTGTCTGCTGTCAGTGTAACACAGCTTCCGAGGAAGTTCGATGAAGCTCTCCACCTGGTATGTGAAATAAATGCGTCAGATCTTCAACACTTTCACACAGCTCCGTGCCCGGAGCTTGAACTCCGGACATCTGACAAGTGGAGCAAGGCTGTTACCACTACTGCACCAACGCACGTCGGAAGTATGAATATTTAAGTCTGAACAGGTGAAGTTCGCACTTCAGCGATGTGATTAGTTTCCCGATGATGCAGTATCTGTCCTGGCTGTGTCGATCAATTGACCCGTCCTTCATAACTTCCCAGTCAGGTAGCACCACAGACGCTTAACACTCGCTGGACAACTTTTGACCAGTTGCAGTTGTCAACCGAGAGTCCAGTTAACACGTGACTACGTGTTGTGATTTCCGTTGTTGAGAACTCCCACATCCATGCGAATAGTCAGGATTGTTTTTTCTTCGGTTCGTAAGTGATAGTGATTACAGCAGATATAATNCCTTCAGGACTTCCCAGTCAGGTAGCACCACAGACGCTTAACACCCGCTGGACAACTTTTGACCAGTTGCAGTCGTCAACCGAGAGTCCAGTTAACACGTGACTATGTGTTGTGATTTCCGTTGTTGAAAACTCCCACATCCATTCGAATAGTCAGGGTTGTTTTTTCTTCGGTTCATAAGTGATAGTGATTACAGCAGATATAATTCTTTGAGTTTTGTTAGATTTCCCCCATGTGGCGAATATCGTAGAGCCGATTTGTTGCTCCAGTCCGTTGTGTCTGGTACTAGCCTAATGTAATTTCAGATGCCTGTTGTAATTCCATTTCCAACAAAATTAGAATAGATATAAGTACTAATGATTGGGTTGAACACAGAAATGCCAGTTTTTCACCCGAGTTCCCGTTAGCAGCCTACCAAACCTAAACTATGGGCAATGTGCTCGAAAGAGCTAGCAACATATCATCGCTGAAATTTTTGAGTAGCCTTGTATTAATATTGTGGTATGAACGTGGTATTTCGAATTACCACTCGCCACCAGTCAGTTGACTTACGGGCGTACGGTTTCATAGCAAGACGATGTTTTGACCCACAACGTATTCCACTCACTTTGTTGCTCAGATGCCTGAAAACCACTAATTTGGAGTTCGAATGGAACTTACGGGGTTTAAAGGTCTGGGCTGTCGCTACATCAGGTTTTTGATTTGGGAGGGAGATGGCTAGAAGTTTAAGGTGGAGTTTTCAACGGGAATTCATCACAGATAACTTGCGAACCCCACCTCTAAGTTTTCAGTATTGGCGGCGTTTCAGCCCGGCCCCGCCACCGGCCGCCGTTACTTGGGATGAGACACTACCAAACGAGATCTTTTGCTGAACTTCTTCGGTAACGAATAGTGGTCTCCTCAGAATCACTTTGCTATATCTTTCCAAATATAATATCTTGCTGTGTGCGGGTTTAATAGTATGGTCACTTTAAATTTCTCTCTGACGAAGGGATGGCTTCGGCATTCTTCATGTGTTTTCCTTCAAGACAGCGATGACTAAGACACGGCTATTTTCAATCAACTTTGTGGGACCATTCGCGATTAGACTTCAAACGCGAAAGTAGTGGTATGTTGGCACCTCAGCCCTCTTGTTAGCTTACAAATGTTGATTTACTCGATCCGTTTAACTGGGCAGAATGTTAATGTCTGTCTTGGCCAACCTGCCGATCTTTGTTGGCCCGGCTAAAGTTAGCTGAAAGTCCACAAAACGGAAGCAGATGGCTTAACCGTCGTATTTCTGTCAAACCGTGATGTGCTGTTTTCGTTCGTTGCATCTCCATACTCTTAGCATGAGTCTTTGAGTTTTGTTAGATTTCCCCCATGTGGCGAATATCGTAGAGCCGATTTGTTGCTCCAGTCCGTTGTGTCTGGTACTAGCCTAATGTAATTTCAGATGCCTGTTGTAATTCCATTTCCAACAAAATTAGAATAGATATAAGTACTAATGATTGGGTTGAACACAGAAATGCCAGTTTTTCACCCGAGTTCCCGTTAGCAGCCTACCAAACCTAAACTATGGGCAATGTGCTCGAAAGAGCTAGCAACATATCATCGCTGAAATTTTTGAGTAGCCTTGTATTAATATTGTGGTATGAACGTGGTATTTCGAATTACCACTCGCCACCAGTCAGTTGACTTACGGGCGTACGGTTTCATAGCAAGACGATGTTTTGACCCACAACGTATTCCACTCACTTTGTTGCTCAGATGCCTGAAAACCACTAATTTGGAGTTCGAATGGAACTTACGGGGTTTAAAGGTCTGGGCTGTCGCTACATCAGGTTTTTGATTTGGGAGGGAGATGGCTAGAAGTTTAAGGTGGAGTTTTCAACGGGAATTCATCACAGATAACTTGCGAACCCCACCTCTAAGTTTTCAGTATTGGCGGCGTTTCAGCCCGGCCCCGCCACCGGCCGCCGTTACTTGGGATGAGACACTACCAAACGAGATCTTTTGCTGAACTTCTTCGGTAACGAATAGTGGTCTCCTCAGAATCACTTTGCTATATCTTTCCAAATATAATATCTTGCTGTGTGCGGGTTTAATAGTATGGTCACTTTAAATTTCTCTCTGACGAAGGGATGGCTTCGGCATTCTTCATGTGTTTTCCTTCAAGACAGCGATGACTAAGACACGGCTATTTTCAATCAACTTTGTGGGACCATTCGCGATTAGACTTCAAACGCGAAAGTAGTGGTATGTTGGCACCTCAGCCCTCTTGTTAGCTTACAAATGTTGATTTACTCGATCCGTTTAACTGGGCAGAATGTTAATGTCTGTCTTGGCCAACCTGCCGATCTTTGTTGGCCCGGCTAAAGTTAGCTGAAAGTCCACAAAACGGAAGCAGATGGCTTAACCGTCGTATTTCTGTCAAACCGTGATGTGCTGTTTTCGTTCGTTGCATCTCCATACTCTTAGCATGAGGCTTGAGGTCTGCCGGCCGCACAAGTGTAGGACTACATGGGCTCCTATCCATAGGGCTGTTTACGTCCCTCATTCAGCCGCTTGCCTCAACCGCTTCCGAAATCGGAGTAGGTGGTTCTCCTCAGAGATGCATCTTCGCATCGTCGTAGTTAGTGTTCAGTGGCTCCGATCAAGACGTTTTCCAAGTTAATATGTCCCTTTATGCTCTTTATCATTAGACCGTTGTACTACAGGCGCAGGTGTCAGTCACTAATCACACCAGCCACGATGTGTCCTTTAATGAACTAGTGGATGCCTTTGCTGTGCTGTAAGCGAACCCGAATAAAACAACCAGATGACCCTGCGTCAATTAGCATGAGCCACATACAAAGTGAAGTTGTGTGTACATGCCAGATTTGGTCCACTGCGTCCTGCTAGATTCCGATTGACTCTCAAAGCATGTGACCATCGCTCATTGCCCCAAGGCACGCTACAGATCTCATCAACAAAATTAAAACTCCCGTCAACGAACATGAACATGCACCACGGGAACGCTCATTAAGGAGAACAAAAAGCAGCCGACGGGCTAACAGGCATCGGCGGTGCATTTGATCTTAACAGCATAGTTAGTTTGTATTGTTGGCTTGAGTACAAGTTCATAGAGGTTCGAAAACCTGTCCGCTCAATTTATGAGCTAGTGAAGTTGACAGATTCCTTCACTCGCCATTGCTTTTGGAGACATATCACGGTAATTATTAAGATAGTGTATCTTGTTACGGACCTAGCTATTGATTTGTGGACGCCTACGGCAAGTAACATCCAGGTCACCCAAATGCCAGTATATTATCCACTAGACCACCCGACATTCATCCAGTAGGGGGGAGGCGAGATGGCTCAAGTGGTTAGAGCACGAATTTGCTGATCGGAAGTTCCGTGGTTCGAACCCGATATCTACTTCTCGACTTCCCCTGTCTAGGTTTAGGCAACCTGGCAGTATCCCAGCCCTCGTGTGGCATGGCAACAAGGCACCGAAAGGGTGCTACAGCTGAACGCTTTTTTTTATTCATTCGGTAGGCTACTGATGAGCTAGTCGGTTATTATCTTTCTAGAAGTTAGTCATCGTTTCAGGGAGCAGCTAATCCTTTCTTGGTGGGTACGCTTTTTGGGAATTTTTACTTAACACGTAACAAGGCTGTTGAAAACTCTTCGACAGCCCAATGCCGGTTTCGCCCTTCTTGGGGCTCATCAAGTAGGCTCAGCCCCCGAGTTTCCGTCAGCTTCATCTCAAATATCGTACCAACCGAAACATGAGGTAGCCTGGTGCAACACATTCAGTTTCTTGGAAACATCATAAATGAGATATTTAACTGAGTTATGGGTGAGTCTCCCGTCAAAACCGATTTGGTATGCAAATGAGTGTATTTCGCTTATTGTGCTGTATGATTTTCATACTGTCTGATAAAATCGAGCATCCTGTTACCTTCACATACTGTGGACTTCCGGACATGTGTTTGTGCGGTTTGGAGCCTACAATAATGCAGCAGGTTGACTGAATTATTCCGAACTACTCTCAACTCAACGTTCGGGCCAATCACCTATAACCGATCTTACTGTCCTTTGACGGTAGAGATCCTATATTCGAATGGAGGTATCTCGCATTCGTCTGGTACTGTGTCAACTTTGAGACTGCGATTCATCTAAGCTGGTGGCTTATTTAAAGGTTTTCCTACCGTGATTTTCGCCCATTTCATTGATTAGAAGATACCGCGATTCATCTGAGGCTTACGCGTTCTGCTTCTTTAGAACCATTTCAGATACACGATAAGGAATCCATTCACAGCAGCAAAGAATATGCGGAACTGCTATGTTGTTGTTCCTCTTTTTAGGGACATTCTCCGTGTAGAAGGCTTTCCAGTGTTCAGGTTTTTATCGCTGAATCCCCTTGAAACGGTGCATGAGTTTACGGTGGCCCAGAGATCGACACATGGGACGAGCATATACCATGGTTTGTTTTGGACACATCTGTGGTACTAAATATGTGCGGTCAAAGTTGACCACATAGTCCGATTTCTTGTTATCATATGGAAAAACACAGTTATGTGGCAAGCGCATACCATTCCGGGTTGGTCGAAGCATATATCTGACTTGCCTACATTTGCACTAAAGATGCCGGGACAATAGCACGTCACAATCTGGTGGCGTCTTAAATCTGTGAACAAACCCACTCGCATATATACCCATGGTTGGTGGTTTTTTGGTTGTTGGCTGCACCTGTTATCCGGTCCCTCCTGATCTCACCCAATTTTTCTGGGGATTTTTGATATTGATTAGCTTAGGCGTTTCTTGTGATTGGTTCAAATGGATCAGTGATACTTGTTGGTTGACCTTAAGTGTTTTAGAACACAACACAGCTAAATATATTGTAGTCGTCTTAGAAGAGCACTGGAAAGCTGCCTTCCTACAACCATACATTGCCTCAGCTTTATAAACAGGTAGTGACAGAACCATAATTGTCAAGGCTCCCTCACTGCCAGCAACTCGTGCTGGATGGAGAATACAGGTAATTTTCACTGGATGTAGAACGCGTCAGATTCAAAAAAAATATTTATAACGAGCTAGTTCCGTGTGTTAAACTTTAATTAGTGATTTGGAAAATCGTGGGACAGTATAGCTCTGACGATCGTTAATGAGGTTCCTTCTTACGAATCACCTATAACTAACCACTTTTTTCATGCAACGAAAGATTTCCACCAGAAGGGTAGTGTGGTCACCTTGGCAAAGCACCGAAATTATTTGCATCGTAATAAGAACGGACGCATTGAGAATGGACTCAATGATCAGTCTTTCGCTCTGCACCGACAGAACCACTTTTTCATGCAACGAAAGATTTCCACCAGAAGGGTAGTGTGGTCACCTTGGCAAAGCACCGAAATTATTTGCATCGTAATAAGAACGGACGCATTGAGAATGGACTCAATGATCAGTCTTTCGCTCTGCACCGACAGGTGTCTAGTTGGGTTGAGAGGAAATAAGCCATGGTCCCCATGTCTCCACTCAGTATCTCCCATTTGCCTAGGTTATCTGGGAAAGGCTTGTTATCGGGAGTAATTAATCATAAGGAGGCCAAAGGACAGATTCACCAGATTCTACTACATGATGGCGCCCTTGCATTTGCATGACTACCACCGGGATGAAGTGGACCCTACTCCATGGGTGTCTTCGACAGCGTTAAACTTCCTCTAACCTCAAAAACAGCACTCTAAGTGTGTCACTCTGGACAGTTAAAAGACAGCATTCGCAATCCTTACATACATAACCCAGGGTTCTTGGACGCCATGAGACGCCTATGAAACTGCTGTACGCATATCGACCTCATGACACCCGACGTTCTGGTGAAACATTATATCCATACTTACCCCTAATGCCTATCGAGCGCTGCCAGACTAATGCCATAATTGATTAAGGATGCTAAGGAGTTGCTGGGTCCACTGTTCCCCGCGAAAGGTCACGCTCTTCTACTAAGTCCACAGCATCGTTCGCCCGTAAGCCATGGCCAGCAGCGCGAACATCATCAGAATGGGTCAAACGGCCCATTTCCCTGTGTTGGATGACCAGTGTATTTAGCTCATATCCCTGCGGTTCACTCCCTTGTACCAATTCTTTTTTTCCTTTGCTTCAGAATTGAAATTAGACGAGTGCGAGCACCTGACAACTTCTAGAAACTTTGAGAGAGCTATCGATATAGCCTTGGAAAATCCTCGACATTGGTCGGTGAATGGATTTCCTGGACGGCTTGTTTGCACAGTGAAACCGTCGTTGACAACAGAATCTACCTCGCCATCTATAGATGCCGGCCAAGAGGCTAGTAGGTCCTTTTATTTTTGTATTACTACCGTTGAGGGGGAGCCATTTTGGTAACAGGATTATTTTCATTCCCTCAGTTCCACCCAGCGCAGGCAACAGAGAAGGCAGCCGCACGTCCATACCAGACAGCCGTGGTACAAAAAGGCACATCTATCAAAATGGGTGTCTAGTCAACATTCTCAGATCACAGAATATCTTATCAACTGACTTCAACTATGTTGAGTTTGGAGCGGGCCGCGGAGGATTATCCCACTGGGTGAACTTATGTCTTGCTTTCGACGACGCTGAGCTTCCCGATGTTTTGGTGAACGAACATTATTGGCCAAATCATCCTGTGGATACTAATTTCATCCTCGTCGAACAGAACAGTATACGATATAAGGTAGGCTGTTGACAAAAAGTATGGGCTCATCTAAATAAAATGAATAGCTTTCATCACAGTATAAGTTACTCTCTGATGCAAACAGACTGAAATTCACCGTGGTTTGGCGATTCGCACCATTGCGTAATCCGCTGAGTCATGCTGGATTGCATGCTTATGATCTCCACGGAACCTCTGGTCAGTGAGTGGAGGTCCTACTAACACAGTCCTCTGGCCCTCTGTATTAGAATAAGGAATATTCCCGCAACTTTCTCCCTAAAATTTAGACTACTTTGGTAGCTTAACGCCAACCATCGCTGTTTTCCGGTCAGGCTTCCCAGCCAAAGAATTGGGTTGCGAGCCCTCCATCGTCCTCTTATCTAACTTTGGACACTCTGGCAGCTTCTCAGTTACAGTGCATTGGCAATGTTCTCTGATCATTTAACTGTTAATGATGATAATGATGACTATGATTATGGTGTTGATGATAGCAGTCTGGTTATGTATACTCTTTGAATATTCCAGGTATCGTTCTAACTAGTACAAAACGGTATATTTCTTATACAGTTCGATACTCGACATCGTGACGTGGGTAACTTTATTCGTCTACGCATGGATATCGCGCATCTTGACCTGAGTGAGTTTTGCCTTTCGTGAATGGCACACGCTTGGAAGTGCTGTGACAAACTTGGAAGTCCAAAATTTTGTTGCTACCAATTTTCTCCTTTGCATGCGATACCACCGACTCAAATCCACTGCTTACCGACTGTATCACTTTAAATCTGTTGCCTCACTGATTGTACGTTTGATCACGTCATTCTTATCACAACGCGATTTCCGTGGAGAAAACAGAAATACCACGTTTGAGTCTGTTATGCCTGGATCCGTCGTGGCATCACTTGTCCCGTACTCCCTACCTACTAATCCGACGTTGGAATCAACCGTGATGAAGTGGTTATTAGCTGTTACCAGTGTCGAGCTAGTGGCACGATTACCTATGAACACACACACACACACATTCAGTTGCACATTCAGTTGCCTGAGAACACCATAAACGAGAGATTCAGCTGGGTTCCGGGTGAGTCTCTCGAAAAAAACCAAATTATTTTGCATATTCGCTAATTTCGTGCAATTTGGTTTTAAGTAGAACATAAGATTGACGGAAACCCGGGGACTGCGCCTACCTGATGAGCCCAAAAAAGGGCGAAACCGGTCGTGGGCTGTCGACGAATTTTCAGCAACCTTATGAGTAGTACATTACAAAGATTACCTATGAACGTTTAGTTTGTGCAGATACACTGCCACTAAATGAGCTCATGGGGCAGTTTGAACCCTCAGAGTTCTGCCACTGAATAGTCACTGTCGATGTGCTTTAGTAAAACCCAAGCTCGATTTGGGTTCTTTCTCGTTTGCTGTATGGGACCGGGGCACGAGCGATTTGGTTCCAATTTGACTCTTTTCCGTCGCTACTCACACTAAGTGTAGGTTGTGGCAATTCCCACTGATGTCTCTCACCTTACAGGTTTGAAGTAGGACGGTCCTGTTGGCCACACAGTGCTGATTTCATTTATCACATCTTTCTTGGTGCACACACTGCTATTTGATGAGAATAGTGTATCGAATCCCATACGACTCATTCTTATAAGTGACTTTTTTTGGCTCAGCTACAGAATTAGCCCGACGGGCTGTCTAAAACAGAGGTATTACTATTGTTAGCTCATCATGAAGCGAACTTCATTGGCCATAGAGCTCAAAAAGTGTTTTTCAATGTGAAACTGGGCATCCATACGTGCCGGGTTGGAAGAATATAACGCTTACTGATTTCACATAGCTTCTATTTCCAGCTCATCACCTAATCGCATGTGTTCATGATTGCGACTGCACTCGAAGCCAATCCTCATCATCACAGACGAATCATCCGTGGTGGGTGACATTGTTAGATGACAGCCTTTTTCGATAGGAAACGTCATCGTCAATGTCTTTTAGGCGAGTTTCAAATGCCTATCGTCCAGGCCTCCTGAGAGAAAGTCTAGTCTGAGATTGAATGATATTTTGGAATCCACTCACCTATCAGCTAACTGTGACAGCACTGTCCATCTTGTCACCTACCGTTCCCGATGCACCGAACTGATTTTTAGCCGATGCTACTGTGAACAAACTAGTAGTACGAATTGACGTGCTGTCACGGCAGTCACTTTCAATCTGTTCGTCGACCACATTTCCGTTGTTCTTCACCGCTACTTCATGCGTTCCATCTGCTCCAAAAAACAGAAAGGGAGTTTACCAACAGCACATGGACAGTGTCGACGCGGATACTGATTCGCATCACGTGGAACTAGAAAACTCACCTATGACAACCATTATGCGGATCTGAATCTGCCTACTTAGTTACTTCGTCTCTCCGGTCTAGTCTGAGTGTTCTTGTTGCACCAATTGTCCCTTCTTGTAGAAAGCGTCCCGGCTCTGAGCAAAACCAAGCACAAGCCGATTGTTGCACTTGCAAAACATCTGTGTGGAGACGCGACGGGTGAGTTGACTCCGTGAATCAGTTGCAAAATTTATTTTGACTGTCGGAATTTGTTCATTTCCTGCTAGTGAATGTGAACTGACTAGCCGCCGAAAATTGACACTAAAGGAAATGGGATTTTATACACTACTCCTTCTGTTTGCCATATAGCAACATATACATCAACCTAAGTAACATATTACGAAGGACTTGGCGTGTACTTCAATATGGGATCTGAAATTTTGAACATGTAACCCATGACAGTTTTCGAGTGTTAAACAACGGTTTCGGACAATTTTCCCAACTCTGGTGACCGCAATTTCGGATTTTCCGTACCTAACAACTTGGTTTACTAAGGTATGCGTGCTTGGATCTCGAAGGCGTCAGGCAAGATCAATTTCACCCTGTTTGGGATCACTACATGGGCACTGTGAACATTCGCATGACTCTATGTACCCATCGTTCATCGGCTGAACATGTGCAACTTTCAAAGTTATTTCCTCATCTATTGTTGATGGGTTGCGTTAGCCTGTTAGGCTGCAAAACGAACGAATCTCGTTTTCAATCGAGGCGATGAAGGTGTCCGGAGGCCAGCCGCCCCTAATAACCGAACAGCACGTCAATCGGACGGATGACTCACGTGCGGGCTACGGACCAAACGAAGGCATGCCCTGATTGGTCAGAATGCCAGCCAATCTGTATTGAGCATCTTTAGCTCGACGCTTCTCGTGTCCTTGCACGACATTGTGGAACATTCTGCGACTACTACATGGATACAGTTGTAATGATCTTTTTTCGTTTCCATAAAGGACTGTCTGAAGCTACTTTTAAACTGCCATAGTGGGCGGAGCAGGAAGCCAAGGACCGATATAGAGTTGATGACCGTTCAGCAAGTCACAGCAGAAGGCTAACGTTTGCCGAAAAGGCATTCCTACTGCTGCAGTACATGGTCTAGGTTATTGGTGACACTTCCGCGGACGCAAAATGCGCAAATCCATTTTGCCATTGGTTCAACTGTAATCACTCAGTCTGATCACCTTCTTGAAAACTCGAGTAACAATATTGTAAAAAAAATATGCTCGAAACGTCTAATCCTCATCAGTCTACCAGTTCAGTAAGAATTTTCACTAGGTGGTGCCATTTTCTGTTCCACTCTCATCGACAAGAGAAGCTTCACAGCTCACGTTTTCCGCTTAACAAAGAACGTCCTGGAAGGAAAGCGTAACTTCGCATAATGCTGCAAAATACCACCTTTTGTTGGTTTTTGCTTCAGTCGCGCTAGAGTTTCCCCCTATGATTAAGTACAGAGTAGAACCAAGATATTTGTACTTTTACACAGTAACTGAAGCATACTCAACTCATATTGGGTAATTTACATGAAGTACCTTATCCTTCCGTGGATAACTCACATATTTTCTTGAAGTTCAGAAGGTCGATTTTGTCGCCTATCTACTACTACCGGCGAATAGTCTTGACTGCGCTCGCCTTTTATGTCTTTACCCGGTTTTCGAAACCAACCTGATCAACAATTCCAAGTACCACTTACTTATCGCATACAATGGTACACATTTTCCTAGTTTGCTGTTAGTTTTTCCCGTTTTCTGTTACCATCCGGTTTTCCTTCCTAGATTTGGCACTCCGCTGCTTGAGAAATGCATCCAAATCGGTTGATGACGAAGAGAGGTCATTAAGGTGCGTTGCTCCGTTCCTGTATCCATCCTATTATTGTTCTCCACCTGTGTAATAAGCTTACTTTTGTAAGTAGACGATGACTCTGTGGTTCTACCAATCGTTGCCCCTTTTTCCCAAATCTTCCCTCAATAGTTAACTTTAAGTTACAGTGCATAATCAAGACGACATATGGAACAAGATATCTTTTTTGGTGAAGAGTGCTCCGGACCGTATTTGAACTGGTCATAGCTTCCATGTGTGTGATTCGTGTTTCACAACAAATGACGGGAACAGGCATACATTTATCGTTATAGCTATCAGTATTTAGAGATACATGTATGCTTTTCCCACTACGGTTCCAAAAATATGGTCATCAGCAATGCGAAACTCACGGATTGCTAGGTAGATTTGGACCTACAACCTTCCGGGCATCGATTGCCACTCAACAATGGATGGCAGACTAACGATATCGTGAAGATTCATCTAGACGGAGTGCAGTGTTACTCATCCTTGGACCACGCAAATTCAGTCCATGTGACCTAATGCTGGCTGACTCTTAGAGTAGCAACCTCTCAGAGAATTTTTCATGTGATTTTTTGGATGTTTTCCTTCATAAGCCTTGCGGGATGCGATCCACAGTTGATTGATTGAAATCTCACTGAAAGTGGAAGCTATTCAAGAGCATCATTGCTAGCGTTGACCGATACTGACTGTTAACCCATTAAGTAAATAAAGTTCAGGTGCCCAGCCGAGAACTGGGGGCGTCATCAGTAACTCGACTGATAGAATACTCCTCCGGTGAATGGTAGGTTGACGATTCATATCCCTTCTCAGCTTGGCTTTTTGGCTCTTGTTATGTGACTAGAGCTTTGTACTTCAGGGTTCTCATTCTTGGAACTCAGCCATTCTTCGAAGCCACCATGACTTCCTTCACACTAGTCGAATCGCTGATTGTCTGTCTAATACACTTTTAATGGTTGACTCGGTACCAAAGCTACTCTGCTCTGCTCGGCGAGCCAAAAAGTGCAGTAAGGTTATGTATTTTTCATCGGGTTTCATCGTGCGGGTCTTTTCTGAAATGTTGTTCCAGCTGTTCAGCACTAAGCCTCCGTTTTATGGAAATAAAGAGTTAGTGCCTTACTCTTTTCGTGACCACTGAACTATGTTTCCGAACTTCCTACCCCACCCTTTTCGACCGAAAGACTAAGTTTAGTACTTTCCGACACTACATAGTCCGTTTATCATCTCTTCAACTGTCATACGTGTTTCGCTTCTCAAATTGGGCGTGCCCAATCCGTTAGATTCGTTGTCCAGGTAACAGAAGCACGCGACCTATAATTAAGTGCTCCAGATAAACATTCGAGTTAATCCGACGTGGCAACGAATTGGCTTAACGTCTTTTCATCCCAGTCGCTTTGCTTGCAGCCATTTTGATTCTCTTGTGGCATCTGGCTCCACTTAGTAGTGATGGTGCGTTACCTCCATCACTGACATTTCATAATCCAGTCCATATGTAACTTTGACAAGTGGTTTTTACTTCGCCTGTGTATTGCAATCGACAAGCATAATTCGGGGTGTTCAGGCTTCATCCGATATAATTAGGATGTCATCTTGTATGGTTCGAACGTTTCATTAGCTCCAGATCTTAAAGTGAAATTCATTGATATGACACCCACCTTGTTGGGGAGGGGGGTTCCGGAAACTTTCGCTGATAGTTCAGACCGCCTTAGCCAACCAATTTCAGCCTACTTCCTCAAAGGTCGTTACAATACAGCACTCAAGTGTCAGGTGTTGTTGCTTGGACGGTGACTAATCTGTTTTTAAATTGGCAGTTAATTGCACTCTCATCAATTTCCAGTACTTCGAAAGCGAATTGTTGTAGTGTTCATGAAATTGATGTGGTACACTACATGTGCCACATGTAGTGCAAATTTCGACAGGAAGCTTCATTACCATTCCGGCATATTAGTTGGAGTGTTTTATATTGGCGAGTGTATGTTGCATACCCCATGTATGGTATGAGGCTTGTGGTTTATACCCCACGGTCAAGCTTTGGAATATGGTTATAAGACAATGGGAGATGGATACCAAAAAAGGTCGCTTCCGAACCCAAAACCAGTTCAGGAGTGCTCTTCTGCATGTGTGGTGGAGCTTTCAGGAGGTAATGCCGAAATCCATCGCACTGTTTGTACAAGTATACCTACTCAAGCTTCTGAGACCGAAACATACCTTGTCTGACAATCTTTGCGTCGGAATCACTGCCTTGACTAAGTTGGTAGCCATAGTTAGTTAGTATGCACCCATGTATATGTTTAAGGGATTTAATGCCCAAATGAGTTCTACATAGTAACCAACTAACCACATGCCTGCGGAGTGTAAAATAGTCCAGTCGTTTCCAGTCACGGTTCACTGTTTTTGAGTTACTACGTGTTGGACCCACGAATGTAAAAATTAATCTCAATATTGTGCGCTTCTCTGCCTTTCACAAACTTTTTCTTCCCTGTCCCCCCTATTAATAACACTCATTGTTGGCTCATCCGTTAGGACTACCGACCCCGTTTGTCTTGAGTCGATTCCTCGCCACAAAGTCCCCGGAAAACCCAGTGCTGACAGCTCCAGACATCTTGAAATCTATCTTCAGACCTCGACGGCTGATCTGTCATGTTGTGTTTAAGGTTCGCACTCTGAAGCAAGCTGGATAACAGGTCACTGTTTCTCTCGCATTGGACTCGTTTGAGATCGACGTGTGCTGCGTACCGAAAAAAACGAATTCGAAATGCAACAACAGTGGTTGAGCCCTATCACTCTCCACTTGCTTAGGGCTGCGAACCTCTGACGATTCAGAGGCCGATGTAGCAAGTTGTGCAAGGGTCAGCACCATGGGTTGAATGATCGCTGCTTGACTGGATACCGTTGAAACCATCTGTGCGCAAAACCATCAGGGACAAAATGACATGATGGTCTTCACTAGAGTTGATTATCT